AGTTTTGACATTTTTTGTCCTTTTCAAGGTGGGGGGGGGGGAGGGAATCCAGCGCACTTGAAGGAAAAGACTTTTTTTCCAGGTGGAAGGAGAGGAGAATACATTAATTAGTAGTTTGTCAAGTGACATTTGGTTGTTTGGTTTTGGGTTTTCTCTTTTGATTGCGGTTTTTCATCTTTGGCAAAAAAAATAAATAAATAAAGGCGTTGGGAGGGGGCTGTTAACTCTAAGGAGACGGCCTTTCCCCCATTTTTCTTAAAGGTGCTGATTTGGAAAAATAAATAAAAGAAGCATAAAAGAAATTGTTGAAATGACCAGAAGAATTACACAAGCATTAATTAGTATGGAAGTTTTCCACTTAGTAATTTGGCTATCTGAGTGAATTTGCTAGGTTAAGACCTAGTTCAGGGTCACATATCAACAAAAGAGCTTGATTATAAAGAATAAAATGTAAAGGGCTGTTTTTCCTTTGTGGTGGCGTCTCCTTTGCTTTTGGGGGACGGGGTCATGTCTTTGTTCTCCTGGGTCCAGATTTATGTAAAGCAGAAAATTATTAAGTGAAAATAAGTCTCTTTGGTGTTTATGCATTTGCAATTACAGTAATTAAATGGTACATATGTTGAGCTGTTGTCAAACTTCTAAAGGTGGAATTATGGTGTGTGAATATTAATTGCGTATAACTTGATTTCAAAGTATAAGCCTAGAAAAGTCTAGAATCTTTCCTAGGAACACTCTTGCTGTCTGAATACTTATTTTAAATGTGATGTGAATGGTACCTTAAATTTATAACACCTTTGCACAGTGATCATAGTCTCCCCTTAATTTGAGACTGTTAACTCTGAATGCACCGGGCATCACTAGGCTAACCTGCCCCAGGTGTCCTAGTCCTATTATCATAAAAAACCTCTGGCATGGGGCTTTGCAGCCCGGGTCAGTGCCACGCATTTTACGTCTTTAAATGGTGATTCTCACCAAGTGATGCCCCCTACCCAAAAAAAGAAGGAAACATAATGATGCCCAGGATCCTCTTTTTTAATTTATGAAATAAAATTTCAGTTACAGGGCCACAAAAGATCTTGCCTTAGTTTTGCAGTTTCTCTGATTTCCTAAATGTGGAAACTGAGGCACGGACCTCTGTGCATGTAAAAGAGGTGCTACGAATTTTAACACGAAACAAGAATATTGGAAATTCTGATTAATATTATGTATTCTCTTCAGTAGTACCGTTAATATTTTAATTTATGAGAGTTAGGCTCATTAAGATAGAATGTTTGCTTTGAAATCAATGTTTCTGTGGAAACTAATTTTAACTTTTTATAGATATTGATTACAGCCTTGTGAAAAGGCAAGAGAAGGAGGAATGCTTTGCTCTCTGGGCAGTAAAACAAAACAATAAAAAGTGAAGAGGGGCTAAAAAACCAAATAGGTTTGTGTGGGAGGGGGGCAAAAATTGTCCACTCACGATTATTTGTTGGAGAGAGTATCCATTTACAGAGGCCAAGAAACTAGCAATCCTCCTCCTAGCTTGGTGGAACTATGTTTTTTCCATAAAATACATGTTTTTACAAATTTAAGGTGATTTCAAATGGGGGCATACGCCCTTTTTCTAGCTCTGTTAGTCATGAAGGGCTTGTAATCATTGAAAATTCAGTCGTTTTCAGGAATATTTTCCCTTATGATTAAAGTCTTGTCCTTTTTAACATGTTATTAATAGGGTTGTTCTCAAGCACTATATTTAAATATTTTTCAAGACAGCAAATAGATGGTCTTTCATCTCCCCCCCACCCCCAAATGGTTGTTATATCCCGAGAGGGTTTAGCTTTAGAAAAATAAAGTTTGCAGTGAAAGGGGGGAGGGGTGTGGAGAAGTGGATCAAATGGAATATTGTGGGGCTAAGGGGGTGGTTTTAAGTAGCCCAAGGGGCAAGAACCCTGCAGACAAAACAGCTACTTGGAGAAAATGTTGGAGAGCTGCTGCGTCAGTTTAGATCTGGGGGCTCCATAGGGGTCTGGGCATTGTCTGTGAACCCTGGGGTATTTTAACCATGAAACAGCTGACAAACAATGAATTATGTGCCCATATACATTAAGGTGTACGTTTTTACCAGTGAACGCTCGTAGTTCAAAGATCCAGTTTCACAGTTATAACTGTAATTTTCTTACCTCCCCCCACCATGACAAAATTGCATCATTCTTTCTGTGCCCACCCCACAAATTTTAAAACAACTAAAAGAAAACACCTAAACAAACCAAAACCTTTAATTCATGTTTGTTGTTCTGATGGTGAAATACTGCAGGTACACACACAGTTGGATGTTTATTTCATTTTTTCTGCGTCGAAATGTCAAGGAAATTTGCACGTCTCTTATTTTGCTTGTGTTTTGCGTGTTGCTTCTATGAAGAAAACAGCAGTAGTGTCTCTCTCTCTCCCTCTCCCTCTCTCTCTCTCCTCCTTGCCCAAAATGTGTAAAATGCCTCTTTCTTAACCTGAGACTTACTTTCATTTTCTAGGTGCTGGAGAATCTGGTAAAAGCACCATTGTGAAGCAAATGAGGATCCTGCATGTTAATGGGTTTAATGGAGAGTAAGTGTCAAATCTGTACCAAGGGCAAAGTCAGAGTACCACATTTTATACTAACCTTTAGGAAGTTTAGGTAGCTTTTAGGGACTGGGCAGCCAATGTCCGCTTAATTTTTTCAGCCTACATATCAGGAAAAAAGCTCTTTCGGGGCTGTTTTCCTCCTTTTTTACTCTTTGGTGCAGCAGCAAGCAGTAATAGTAATAAAGCCCCTGTGTTGGCCCCATGACAGGTCTGCGGTAGGTTTTGGTGCAGTGGGTCTCCAACGTGGCTGACAGCGGCCCTGGCCGTCCGTTTGCCTGGCCACGCTGACCGCTGCAGAGCTGGTCCCCACCCCCAGCACATTGCAGCGCAATGCACCAGTGCAGGATGTTTTAAACTATTAGGGAAACATTGTTTCAATAATATTCTCACATAAAACAAAGTGGGAAGAGTCAGCCCTTGTTAGTAATTCTTCATTCCCCCGCCCCCCTTTGGAATTATCACAGGCAAATCATCATTTCCCTTTTTAAAAATCGATGATCTTGCCTAAATAAAAAGATATTTAAATAATGGAAAGGCTGGGAGTTAGGTACTTCCGGCCAGACCTAGGGGCACTTTTGCCTTTGAGAAGTCCTTCAAGGCATCTTGCTTTAGGACAATGTGACAATACCGCAGTGAGAATAAAGGTGAAAAGAGAGAGTGCATATATGAAGATGTAAACTATAGAGAAGAATGCAAATAAGGGGCATAGGTCTCCCCAGACCCACCTGTACTTTCACGTGGGCTGGTAAGGGTAGTTAACCTTACAGTCACTTGCAGGCACTGGTTTGCAGTTAACTAGTTGGTTAGCAGCCCTATTCCTTTTCTTAAACCTGGGCTCAATTTAAAATTGTATTCCCCTTAAGTGTCCAAAGGGGAGGTTGAGTCAGAGGGGCATAGTTTTAATTCAGTTATGCACCAACCCCTCCCTCCAACAAACAAAGACCAGTTACTGTCTCCTACTATGCACTTACACGGGGGAAAACAGGGATGAATTTTATCACCTATTAGAAGTAAAAGAACTGCAGGAGGCAGCTCTTTATGGAAAGTTCTAGAATTTCTCAGACCAGATAATCACGGAGGGGTAAGGTAGAGAAAAGGATGACATCATCCATACAAATGGACATTTAGTTTAGGATGCTTTTTAAGTTTAAAATTCAGAGGGATGAGCTCTTTTAACCAGTTTTATGAATGGCTCTCCCGATGAGTTACCGGTATGCAAGTACATGTTGATTAAGTCACGTTCACATGTCACAAACCAATTCTGAAATTCTTAATTTGACACACCTTTCGGTAAAGCCCATCCACCAGAGACTGCTGTCTGTCAATTAAAAAGCCTGAAATAGGCTTTTTGCTGTGATTTTGTAATTTAAAGAAAAACCTTGCATAATTTTCCCTCCAGCAACTTTCCGGGGAGCGCTGCTTCAGGAGGCTTGTTAAGCAAAAATAATTTGACCATGTACCCTCTAGATAAATATTTTGATTAAAATTGGATGTGGCCTGCATTTTTAAAAGGATGCAGCAGCCACTGTTTACCTTAGCTCAGGTCCAATAGAAGATAGGACATCCTTGAAATAATTCACTTAAAGTTTTATTACTCTGTGGAGTGCCCTAAAATTGTTTAATTTTTAGAGAAAAGTTTCTCCCCCCTAAGTGAGCCTGTCTGTAATGCAGACGAGGCATTTAAACCAGCACTTCTCTTTTCTGAGTTGTGTGTTTTTTTTTTTTTCCCGAAAGAGGAAGAGACATTCCCAGTTTGCCTGTTTGTAGAGGAAGCCATAGGTAATCTCTGAGGATGTTAAATTTAGCCTGTGAAAGTGACATACAGGGGAATTCTTTATGTGAGCCTAGAAACCTTATTTTTATCTCATACAAATGAGCCTCCTTTTTTCTTTATCCTCGCTGCGGTATTGCAACAAAGGCGGTTTCCTTCTCCACTAGGAATTCCCTGCCAAGTGAGGACATCCGTCCACCCAAGGGGTTTCTGTGCGGTGGTTAGGGTCTCTGCCTCCTTGCTCCGTAAACGTGCGCTTTGTCAGGGCTGGGCTGAGCTATTATATTTGCCTTAACTGTGCGCAGACTGCTGTGCCGAGTACCTCTGCAGAGTAACCGTGGCATATTAATCTGACCTTCACAAACACAGAGGTCAAATGCGGATTTTCCTAACTCAACGCTAGCTAACTCCCTTACATTTGGGGGTGAGAAGAGTGCCATTAACACTGGATGAGCTAATAAGCTAATCAATTACAAAACCTGGTATACAGCTTGAGCCATCCTGCCCCTCCCACCTTCAAGGAGGAGTTCCTGCCAATCACGAAGATTGGGTTTGGGGAGGGAGGGGCTTGGTGGTAGTGGGTTTTATTCTTTTAATTGGGTTTTTTTTTTTTTTTTTTTTGCTGTGGGCCTCACAGTTCAGGCACACTTTTAATTGATGACAATTTGTGGGGAACAGTTGTATAGAAATAAAAACATAGGTAGCAGCCCAAGTCCAAGAAGGGAGGGAATTAATAATGCACCAGGAAATCAGGGGCCCAAAATCATGGACCTTTGTGTGTTCAGTACAACACGGCGAATGAGGTCTGGGACCATCAGGGGCCTTACGCGCTGCTATATTCTCCAAAGAACTGTGAGATAAATCACTGCTTTAGCTCCCTGATGCATGTACATTTAGTGAAAGCACAAGAAAATAATTATCCGTCCCTCCTGTACCTGACGGAAGTCTCCAGAGGGTTCTGCTAATGCTGCAGTGAAGGTGTGGAATTCTTCCCCCCATGGCCTGCGGTCTCAGTAGACGTGCCAATTTAGCCATGAAGGCGACCTAAGAATTAACGGGAGGATGGCGGCCGTTTGTTGAGGAATTTAGGGAGGCTGTGTGGGGGTTTTGTGAAATTGCGGTGCCTTGCAGATTAGGTGAGCTTTCAATCTCTCTTTAAAAGGGGCGGCGAAGAGGACCCGCAGGCTGCAAGGAGCAACAGCGATGGGTAGGCACATTGAAAAACAGAAAAACTTTCACACACGCACACCTGACACACACATCATACGGGGAAACAGGACACAGAGACCCGGGAAGAAAACCAAAATCATTTAAGGGCCATCAGCCATCTTGGTAGATACATTTGCAAACAACACACTTTCTTGTCATTTCAGAGCAAGTGAAGTGCAAAACAGATTTTTTTTTTTTTTTTTTTTGCCATCTTTAAAGTATAATTAGATCCAGCTGGGGGAAAGCTATAGACTTAAGCATTAAGACGGTCAGTTTAGGATTTCAAAAATTGATAGTTTCTATCCCCCACCCCCAGCTCTCCATTTGAATTGGCTACTTATTTTTAAAACTGGCTACTTGTTTTTAAAACTACTAAATTCTATCTACCCTGTGGCTGGTCTGATGTTAAAATTTCAGACCTCTCTGGGGAAAAAAAAAATCTTTTTACCTCTGTTAAAATACGTGGTGCCGCACCGTCCTTAATTGGGCGGGGGGGAGATAAATGCTTGGCACCTTGAGGAGGAGGGAGGTCATTGTGGAGAATGATCTCGAAAAGTCTCTGGTCTTTTTATAATTGCAATTTTATCGAGTGGACAGGAAATTAATGATGGCCTCCATCTTTTTCCACTCATTATCAAATTTTTTTTTTTCTTCACTTCCTGCATCCGCACTGCCCATCACACTCACACATACACGCATGCCAGGTAACTTTCTCCAAGCACTGCTCTGCGTATTCAGCACGCAGTGAGGGAGCAGCTCTTTGTCCTGAGAACATTCAGAGCCAACTGACCTAGCCTAGGGCACCTCAAAAATAGCTTGTGACTTGGGAGGGGAGGGGCAAAGGAAACTGGGGGTCGGGACCAAGTAACTGACACATGTTTGTTCATCTGTTTTTTTTAGACTATATAACCCCTAGATGATGGCTTCAATTTCTCATCTTCCCGGCTATGTCCTATCACACTTTGCATGCTGGAATTGCCTGTCTTAGGAACTTCTAATAAGAATACTATTCTGTTGTGGGGGGTGGGGGGATGGGGCCCCAGCACCTAACTGCTAAAGATAACTGAAAAAAAAAAAAAAAAAAAAAAAAAAAAACTAAAAAAACAAACAAAAATCAACAAAAAAAGTAATCCCTAATTGACAAATATGTAGTGTATCAACCACCCAAATCATCTGCATAAACAGTGATTGACAGCTTACTGTACCAAAAGTTGGCATTTGAGAGCTATGACCCCTCTCTATTGAACCACCTCTCTATTGAACCACGTCCCTATTGAACCACGTCCCTATTGAACCACGTCCCTATTGAACCACCTCCTGTGTACTTCCTAGATGCTATGCTAGATCCCTGACTGAACCCTACTAATAACTACTAACGGCCTGCTATTCTATCTGTGACTCTGTTCTACAAGTAAAACTTAAGTATTAACAAATGTGATAAATAAAAATTCTCTGCATGTCTCAGCAATCCCTGTATCTTGCGTCTGTCTTCTGTCTTCCTTCTTTTGTCTGTCTGCCCACTCCCCCCCCCCCCAAAAAAAGCATAAAGATAAAAGGTATAGAAGTCAGTATACAACATAGCCTTCCCCTACTTGGAGGTGGGGGGCGGGGGGTGACCATCTCTTAAAATTTGAACCCAGCATATAAAGCAGCCCTGATCTTAGGCTTTATACATGTTGGGGGGAGGGGGTGTTACAAAATTCAAACATTACTTCCAGCCCCCACTTTTCATCCATCAGCATTCTGTATGTAGTTGATATACATTTTGGCTTTCAGTACTTCAAAGACATATGAAGAACTTTCTCTGAGAATGTCACAATCAATGTTAAATTCATTAAGCGATAGTAAAAATTACGATAGACCTGCCAACCCCCAGTATAATATCTCTATCTACATAGTAATTGCTTCAATGGAGGAATTTTTGTTTTAGTATTACACACCCGAATTAGATTTCAGATTTCTATTTTAGCTGTTTTATACTTGATATACTCCCACACCTATTCACATACGTAGATGAATACTGAACACGTTCTCAGAATATCCGTATTTAAGACTGGAAGTTTTCCAATTACCATACTACTACTTAGACCAAAATATCAAACTGAATGAAAGAACCAGGTTTCTGGAAATAACTTATCTCTTGCTTTGGGCTCATTTGGGCATTAATACCCAGACATACATAATTTTAACTATTGTGGGACCTTAAAACCAAACCTCCAAGGCTCTCATTACTATGGAAATGGAACTTCTTTCTAATGAATGGGAATGGGACTGTCCTGTGGGGTTTTAACTTTGAATTCCTGTGTGCAGGTTGGGGACAAACACACGTCCAACGTCTAGATGCCTGATTTAGGCCGTAGCGCCAAGTCGGGACACTATTAGTAATTTCAGAAACTCAGAGGGGGTCAGAATGAGATCCCTTTAAATCTAGGCTGGTTGCATTAAGAGTCAGGGGGTTGGGGCACAAATCCCCCACTCCTGGTTGGCAGCACAGCTCTCCTGGAGTTTTCCCGCCTTGCAGCACTTTTATTAAAGAGCCATGAGGGGGTTCCTGGTACCATCTGTAGCCCTGCACCCACAAAGCATACACATCTTCAGCCCCTGATGAGGGCACTACCTCTAAACTAGCTCCCCCCCATTCAGATACGAGACGGGCAGTGTCTCAGTGGCCAGTTGCACCCTGGGGCAGGGATGAAATGAGATCATTCAGAAAACGAGAGCCCACCGCTCAAACGAATAGGCAAAAGGCTTATTTTGAAAGGATGGAAGGCCAGGTTCTCCGGGGGGCGGGGCTTTGCAGTCGATCACATAGCCACACCCCCGACCCAGGAGCCGCCTCCGCCTCCCACGTCACACTGACCTCCCGGCTCGGCTGCTCTTGCTGTTAACATCCCCTCCCCGAGTGTCCTCTATACTGAAGTCCTGTCGTGTCCTTTCCCCAGGGGTGCTACGTGTTTAATCATTTCTACCTCCATCCCAGTACTCTAGGTGAATTAACCCCGTGAATACATCGACAACTGGATTCCAGAGATTTCTTTAAAAACTCCCCAGCAAGAAAAGTATAAGCCCTGTCCCCCTTCTGCCTCTGTCACCAGGACCCTCCGTCCCGTCCTGTCCCGTCCCCTGAGGACAGCACTGTGACATCTTTGTGACAACCACTGTCACCTCCCAGGACCTGATACACAGGTGTATCGTGCATGTGGTCCAACTCCCTAGCCCACAGGTGACCCACTCTGGGCAATGCTGTGGCAAGATTTATACTCCGAGCAAGAGGTCCCTAACCCCTAAAAACACAACCCCAAAGAGCCTTTCTTGGCTGTGTTTGATGATGGACAGTGTCTGAAGACATGGGGACAAGCACAATATCGGGGTTCCCCAAAGTCAAAGGGCCTTGACCTGTGGCCCCAGGGACCCTGCAAGTAGCTGGTTCCACACCGACCACACCTGCCCTCCCAGGTGTACAAGTTAAAATCAGAATTAAAAAGTGAAGCCACTGACATCTACTTAACTGTGGGGCATAGGCCACACTGCCTCCCTCCCCTTCCCCCCATAAGTCCCAGATCTTAGACTTCCAGGGAGGGGTGGCAGAATTCCATTTTACCCTATTCACATCAAGGCATCAATGTATATTAACATCATCAACTAGAAATACTGTCCACTGCTGCTGGCCGCATAGAGGGACACACAATACTTACAATAAAAACAGGGCCCTTAAGTCTATAATTAACACTACCACCTACGTTTCATTCACTGCTGGTCCCTATGCTAATCCAGTGACTGACAAAGCCCCAAGGCACACCATGGCCTTTCCCCTCCTACCTAACCCTACAATAACACTTCCCCACCCCCACCAAAAGCTCCAGGACAGGGGTGCCTGGCCTGCTGCAGTACATGGGTTGCAAAGGGTCAGACACAACTGAGCAACTGAACCCCCAATAGGGATGCTAATAAAGGCCATTAGGAACCTTTTAGGAAGTGCTGGTATGCAGTGAGGGCCACAAGAGGGTAGAAGCCCCTCTGAATAGTAAATAACCAGTCCACACTTATGGTACAGTAGCTACAATCCTTATCTAGATGCTTGGGGTTCTGCCCCACTTGGGCGTGTCCTCAAGACACAATGGGTGGTTATCATTTGAAACCACCATTATTCAGGAACCTCCAACCTCAGCACAGATCTGAACCCCCCCCACTCCTTCGAAAACAGAATACTATTTTAGTTGGAAAGTCGTGATTGAAACAACACTGTGAGTCAACGTGATGCAATATGATGATTTTTTTCCTTTTCAATCCCACTGTAGTGAGAAGGCCACCAAAGTGCAGGACATCAAAAACAACCTGAAAGAGGCCATTGAAGTACGTGCCTAGTCCTTTTCTGTCATTTCTTTTAGCCTCCCTTTCAGACAGCGCTCTCCCCCCTGACCTTTGCTCCCTCATTTTCAGACCATCGTGGCCGCCATGAGCAACCTGGTGCCCCCTGTGGAGCTGGCCAACCCGGAGAACCAGTTCAGAGTGGATTACATTCTGAGCGTGATGAACGTGCCGGACTTTGATTTCCCTCCCGTAAGCCAGGCCTGCACCCCCTCCCCACACCACCAGGATCTCCCCCACTACTCTTCCACAGAACCCAGTTCTTTGACACTGCTAGGAAAACAGTTAACCCATTAAGAATCTTTAAATGACAGCAACAACTAGTAATAATCTTTAGGGCTTTTTTCAAGACGATTGAGTAAAGTTCTGTCACCACTTGTCAGTCTTGACTCACTCCTCTCCACAAGTAAACATCCCGGTTCAGTACGACTGTTCCCACTGCATTGGACGGTAAATTTTCACAGAAGAAAAAGTCATGAGTTGTGGCAGCCTTAATTATTCCCTTATACACATCTGTGACGAAGTACTATGCGCTGAGTACGGCACAGAAATGCTAATCGTCTAGCTGACTGAAACTATTCTGAGATATCAAGAAATGAAGCGCCAGCTCTGAATTTTATAAATGGGAGATATTCTCATTTTAGACAATTTGCCATTTAACTGTTACTAAATTTTTTTCTAAAATCAGTCCTTGCCTTGGGGCAAATGAAGTCTTTTCTCATTATTATTAATAAAGAAAATTACAAAAGGCCCTCACCTAAATGTCATAACACAGGGATTGTCTTCTCTGTTCCCTGGCTGGTGTGCAGGACACTTTTTGCACAGATTTGTCGGCTCCATAAAGAACTATTTTTAGGGAACAGAGAACTGCCCATGTCCTAAGCATATATATGTTTTGACCCTTAGTGGGGGAAGAATAGTTTATAAGAGGGGAACAGGAAACAAGATGGAAAGATGGGCAAGTTTATAAGGTCCAGAAGGAAAAGACTTGTCTACAGCAAAAACAATGACTTATTGTTGCCTTTTGTCAGGATTTCGTGGGAATTTGTGTTTGTATATTTTAAATGGGTTTGGCTGCAAATGTCTCCTATCCAGGAAGCAGTATTAATAAGTATGGCTAGGTAAATTCTCTTAAATAAGAAAAAATAAAAGAAGAGTCAAGCAGTAAACACAGCATACATAATGCCCAACACAGACTCTTCAGTGATTCTATAGCTCTAATAGGTGAAAAAAGGCAGCCTATTTAAAATGCACCAGGATGGTGACTCTTAAGAGTCCTCCCATTGAGCTTTGACTCTTTTCTTGCTGCATTCACATTGCAGAAGAACCTTTTCTTCCCTTGTAAGGGAAGATTGCCCCCATATAATTAATTTAAAAAAAAAATTTTTTTTTCGTCAGATGACATATGAACTGTGACCTATTGCAGTTTAAAACCAACTGCTCCTTTGATTGATAGGCATTGACTGACAAGGTCAGATTTGCCAACGGCTCCCAATCATAATATTTCTTCCTAAAATTCACACTTCCCTGGAAGGAAAACTTCGGTCTCACCACATCTTCATAAATGAGATGTCTCATCTCCATGACATCAAATCATTTATTGGCAAAGTCCTAAGTAGCTTGTATTCCTCCTAGGTAAGCAATTGTGAGAAGAAAGAAACTTATTCACTAGTTTAGTTTGGCCCTTCATCCCACTCCCAAAAAGTATAGTATGAAAACTACCCAAGACCAGTAATCCACAATAAGAGATCAGCTGGTCTCAATTTCCAAATACGTGTAGCACGTCGGAAGTTCTTTATGAACACTCACTCCTTAGTTTGCCTCAAAACCGGGAATAATCGCACCCAGGGTTGGTGGCAGGGTGAAGTCTGGTCTCACTGGGAGCAGCCCCTGTGTCTGAACATTCCCTCTCTGTTCACTTTCAGGAATTCTACGAGCATGCCAAGGCTCTCTGGGAGGATGAAGGGGTGCGTGCCTGCTATGAGCGCTCCAACGAGTACCAGCTGATAGACTGCGCCCAGTAGTAAGTACACTGTCTCTGCATCAGTGCGCACACGCACGCACGCACGCACACACACACACACACGAACGCATGGAGAACATCCTAAAAACCACAACTCACACTGTTCAAGTTACTTTTCAGAGAAGCCAGCCAGTTATTCCCACCTGCAGTTTGAAAGTTCTAGTCCAATTCACTGGTTTTATAAAGCCCTTAATTGCACTTTTTAGTGCAGTGACATTATTTTTATACAAACAGGTAATGCCTGGTAGAGCAAAATGATAATTACCTGCAGTAAAGTGATGTTCATAATTAATTACCTTGAAGTAATTAATTGAATTGACCTCAAAGCTTGCGGGGAGATAGGACAGCTTTCACACTTTGGATAAGGTAGAACTATCATATTTTATTGCTGTAATTTAAAAACATGACAAAGAGGAACAGTGTGGCAAAAATAGGCCTCCCCCCTCCTTCGTGGTCAGTCCATTGCTTTGCTGTTTCTGCTATCAGGTAAGTGACTGTAGTGTAGTAGCTGCCAGAGTCCAATATGTCTAGTTCATCTAGAGTTGGGTATTGTGTTGAATTCCATTTCCTATCCTTATTGATTCATTCACACCGGGCTTAATTCAAGGATGCTCCCCCCATGGGGTCCTTGCTGTGTCCCTTCATGGGCTCTCTTCCAGTGATGTGATAAACACAGCTGGAAAGTTGCCTTTTAAATAGTTTACGACCTTCCTTATCCTGTACATAATATAGCAAATATGTGATGTTCAGAGCCATAAAAGATATTTTAAAGGTATCGTTTGTTTGCTGATGTTGCACAAATGTACTCAGCAGTCTCAGTTATCATTTATTCTCAAGTTGGATTGTCTTTTATGACTAGGGGAAGGGCAAGAGATATTTGTGATGTTTCAGCCTCTCTTATGTAAGTAACTGAAACACACACAATTTTGCTATTGAAAATATTAAGTAACCAGGAACACAGTACCCGGCTGGCTCACAAAAAGCTAAAATTGCATTAGTTAGGAGCCCCACGCCTGAGGAACTTATGAAAACCACTTGAATAAACAGGAGGGAGGAAGAGGTGACAGCACTCCAACTGCAAACACAAAGCAAGGGCCCCAGATTCCTGTTATCTACACATCACAAGAGCTTATGTTAGGGGCTGTGAAGCCTATCAATTTCTCTCTCCCTGGCCCTGCCTTCCCATTGGAAGTGCATTTGATTATTTTCAGTTGTCACACATATAGCTATTTTGTGATTTCATATACAAGCAAATCTGTATATTTTTTCAACGAGTAAGAAAAAAAAAAAAGTCCATCTTGGCCAGTCTCTGTGACATCCCCCCCCAACCCCCACCCCCTCTACAACAAAGTCTCTGATTTTCTCAAAAGTTTGAGCTTAAAGCTGGAAGTGCTAATTATAGTAATGCAAAACAAATGGAAATCCTGGAATTGTTTGCCTTTTGTAGTTTGGATCCAAGTCAGAAGTACAGGTACAAGATTAGAAGGATTTAACCATCCCGGTTTGGAGTGCTCTGGAAGGGGGGAGGGTGTAACAACTTCATTAATTAACAGTTTAGCCAGCTTTTTTTTTTTTAAATCTCACACCATTTAAAAGTTGTGTTTTTTTTTTTTAAAGCAACACTCAATTACTCCTGCAACTTTATCTGAAAAAGACAACATTTGCAGTTTATGGAAAGTTTTAAGGAAACTCTAAGAAAAAGAGAACACAGCTCAAATTTTATAAAATGTCTTCCCCAGACCAGTGATTAAGAAGCAGCTCTGCCCCTGCAGTGACCAGGGTGTTTCTGGTTTCACTGCCTTTATGTTAAAAAGTTGATCTACTGCTACCTTGCCCATTTCTTAAGGTGCCTGTTTTTATTTGTTGAGCAGGGGTTTGGCTGGCCCCACTCCAGATGTCTCTCTCACAAGATTTGGTGCTGATGATCTATTTTTAGAACTGTGGTTCTGTTGCCATGGCAACATGCTGGAGGCCAGGGCGGCTGGGGAGCTATTTCTGGACTGGTACTGTAATGTAAGACTGATTGGGCAAGTTAGTATATCCTCTAAGCCAGACTAACTTTAAACTGGTAAAAAGGAAGGAGGAAAGAGGAAAAAAAAAAGGTACAGAATTTCTTTAAATAGACTTTTCTTTCTTTGTGATTTTCTTCCTCTGATTAGCCCACTTTAAAATAATTCCAGACCCCTCCTCCCAAGGGGCGGGGGAAGCTGGTTTTAACATTAACACAGTAATTCGTGTTTTAAAAATTATTTTTCCTAACAGTGTTATCTAGTCTGGCAACACAAGCCAAGGTACCTTTTGCTTTGGGGAGAGTGTATAGCTGTGGAGAGGGAGGTAGAAAACACTTTTCCCTAAAGCTTTCTCATCATTAAGGATGGCCCCTAAGACCTCCACCCCTCCACTGTGCAGTGCTCCCAGCCTGAATAAGGACCCCTAACCTGGGTGGCTGTGAGGGTTTTTGAAAACACTAAAGTTTAATATCTGGACTGTGCTATTTCATAGACCAAGTAGAACGGAAGGGAACTTTGTGTCTGTTTCCTGTTCAGTGTGGTAAGGGCCCAGCCCCTTCTTACAAGTAGAAGGAAGGGATACCCTTTCTGAGTAACTCAAACAATCTCATTTTCATTAGTCCCTTGGGAGGGAAAAAAATCCTTGCTGCTTTTAAATGTGTCTTTTTTTTTTTTTTTAATTTTTTAAAAAACTAAATGACAGGAAGGGTACAATTTTCAGACTACTTGCCATTTTAATCAAAGGCAAACAATTTGACTTTAACTCAGTCATTATCAAATGGCACAAAATCAATCAGCTGATTGATTTGCACAGAACTAACCTTTTAAAATTAAAACAAGGCCAGGAGAGCTGACTCCGAGTTCCTGATTCCTAGACCTACTACTGCTCAGCCAAGTACATTTATCTTATATTATCTTTGCTCTAACCTCTTTAAAGCATAAGCTTGAAATCATAAGCTTCGTGAACACACATAAAATTCCCACTGACTTAATGCCATGGAACTGTGGGGTGATCATTTCCATTAGCTGGTCTTTGCAGAGAGGCAGGAATAGTGGGTGGACGAAGTGGCATGAGCATGTGGTCACCCTGGTACCTGTTTTTCTCCCAGCTTCCTGGACAAGATTGATGTCATCAAGCAGGATGACTACGTGCCCAGCGACCAGGTACGCAAACGTTCTCACACGCAGAGGACTCGGAGCCCTCTGTCCCCACTAACTGTCAACTCCAGGTTGGCAGTTATTAACGGGTTTTAGTTGGTGTCACTGAGACCCCTTGACCTGAGATTCTGTTTTAGGATCTGCTTCGCTGCCGTGTCCTGACTTCTGGAATCTTTGAGACCAAGTTCCAGGTGGACAAAGTCAACTTCCAGTAAGTAAATGGTTCCCTTTAAAAAAAAAAAAAAAAAGATATCTTGACATTCCCTCTGGTAGGGAGAGCAGTGGACCAGTGTTGGCCCTTGGAGTGACCGGGTATCATTTCTCTCCTGCAGCATGTTTGACGTGGGCGGCCAGCGTGATGAACGCCGCAAATGGATCCAATGCTTCAATGGTACGGAAGCCGTGTTCTTCTCCGCTCTTTAAGGACATTGTGCTTTTCTAATTGTTAAGGATCACTTTCTCTGATGACATGCCTTATGTGTGCTTTCTTGTGTTGAAGATGTGACTGCCATCATCTTCGTGGTTGCCAGCAGCAGCTACAACATGGTCATTCGGGAGGACAACCAGACCAACCGCCTGCAGGAGGCTCTGAACCTCTTCAAGAGCATCTGGAACAACAGGTTTGTGCAGTGACAGCCCCCTCCCATCTCCTCCCTACTGATGTCAAGGTCAGTAGAAGAGAATCTTGTACAAGTTCTTGTGTAAGCATCTCAAACCACTTGCAAAAAGAATACTTTCTTTTCCTGGGCAATAAACCCGCTTCCCTCTTTCTTAGATGGCTGCGCACCATCTCTGTGATTCTGTTCCTCAACAAGCAAGATCTGCTGGCTGAGAAAGTCCTTGCTGGAAAATCGAAGATTGAGGACTACTTTCCAGAATTTGCTCGCTACACTACTCCTGAGGATGGTACGTATGGCCTTCTGCAGTTGATTAGTACCCATTGGTCCCATAGGGTCTTGCATATGTTAAAGATTTCTGTTCTTGATTTTAAAAATGAATGATCTCTAAGAATGGAACTCCACTTCCCCAGCCGCCACCACCATACTATAAGGGGTCTGTAGGGGGACCAAAAGAATCTCATTCTAATTACTTAAGTAACAAAATATTTATATTCTTTGCAGCGACTCCCGAGCCCGGAGAGGACCCACGCGTGACCCGGGCCAAGTACTTCATTCGAGATGAATTTCTGGTGAGTAGAGACTGTTTACTTAATTCTAAATCTGAGGATCAAACCATCCAGTTCCTCCATGTTATTTCACCGATAGCCAGCGTGACTCTTAGACTTTGTGCCCTTCAGTTGGGGATTGTTTCACCATAATGTCAATAACTGGTGGGCAGAACGTGGTAGATGACATCTACTGGTGAATTACTGGCGAGGTGTCACTGACCACCATTCCTTCTGTCCCCACAGAGAATCAGCACTGCTAGTGGAGATGGGCGCCACTACTGCTACCCTCACTTCACCTGCGCTGTGGACACCGAGAACATCCGCCGTGTGTTCAACGACTGCCGTGACATCATCCAGCGCATGCACCTCCGTCAGTATGAGCTGCTCTAAGAAGGGAACCTCAAAATTTAGTTAAGGCCTTAAGCACAATTAATTAAAAGTTAAGATATAATTGTACACGCAGTTGATCACCCACCATAGGGCATGATTAACAAAGCAACCTTTCCTTTCCCTCAAGTGATTTTGCGAAACCCCCTTTACCCTACAGCTTGCTTAAATATTCTAAATTTAGAAAGCTTAAGGCGGCCTATAGATTAAGATTAAGAAAAAAAGGCCACAAATGTTCCCTTCTCTCTTTAAGTAACTAATAGCAGCAAACAGAAATAAATGAAATAAATGAAGCAAATGAAATAAATATCGTGTTGTGCAGCATTAAAAAAATCAAAATAAAAATTAAATGTAAGCAAAGATGTGACTCCTGTGAATTATTTGCAGTTTCGAGCAAACACGCACTGTTCAGGGTTTGGTCTACATCAAAAGTTGGGAGGCCCCCATGTTTAGGTGACAAGGCTCCAAGGTTGTAAGTGGGTGTAAAATCTTGCCATACTTTTTGTTGACCTAATCTTGGGTTTCTGAAAACAATTTTCAGACAATACCAAATGTCCACCCTGTCCTCCTCCCAAACCCACTCCCAGAAGAAAACCACTAAGGTCCATCAAAAAATTCTATACTTTGATCATTGCTGCCTTATCCAAGTATTCTACCAACTTATACCTTTATATACTATCTCATGATGTGCCTACTTACCTACTCTCCCCAAAATAGGTGTCTGCTTTTCAGCTCTCTGTCCATCCAACATCTCAATTGGGTGGGAGGAATTTAGTAATGCAGTAATGCAAATCAAGTGGATTTACTCAAGAAATAGTGTATACAATGTATATTAAATCATCACACAGTACACACTAAATATATTAAGATTTGTCAATTATAACTCAGTAAAAATGGTGGGGGGGTGGTGGGAGGTAGGGGGTCAGGAGGAATAAAGCTGGTACAAAGCTATCAAATAGTTACAAACAAATGGTATAGTGATTTGGGGAAAAATTGGGCTGGATCCCTATCTCATTCCATATATAAATGAACTCAATGTGCAGCAAACATGTATGTTTAAATACAGAAAGTTACTTTAAAAATGGCTATCTTTACAATTAAAATCTTGGTTTATAGAAGGCCTCTCTAAGCATGACCTAAGATTAAAAAAATTTAAATGGGGGGAGGACTGTAAAAAAATTAAAATCAAATATGAATGGGGGCAGGGGTAGGAACTTGGTAAAAATATGTAAGAAAGGATTCATTTCCCTAATAGGCAAAGAGCTCTTAAGCATTAATAAGTAAGCCCATCACAAAAATGGGCAAGGTACATGAACAAGCAATTTTACTTTTTAAGAAGGTACAAATAACTAAATACCTCTACCTCATACACAGATGAACTCAGTGGGTCAAACACATGTTTAAATATAAAAATGTACTTTAAAAATAGTGATTTTTACAATTAAAATCTTAGTTTGTAGAAGACCTCTCTAAGCATGACCTAAGATTAGAAAATATAAAGCAGGAGTGGGGAGATGGGAGAGGACTGTACATAAAATATGAATCAGGGTGGGGGTAGGGGTGGAAACTGGGTAACAATATGTAAGAAAGAATTAATTATCCTAATTAGCAAAGCGCTCTTAAGAATTAATAAGCAAGCCATCACAAAAATGGGCAAGATACATGAACAAGCAATTTTACTTTTTAAAAAGCTGCAAATAACTATCTACCTCATCCCACACACAAATGAACTCAGTGTTGGTCAAACACATATGTTTAAATACAAACATGTATGTTTAAAATGGCGATTTTTACAATTAAAATCTTAAGGAAGCCCCCTCTAAGCATGACCTCAGATTAAAAAAATATAAAGTGGGGGTGGGGAGGTGGGGTGGGAGATGGCTACACAAAACTTAAAATCAAATAAGAATGGGGTTGGGGTGGACTCTGGGTAAAAATACATAAGAAAGGATTAATTTCCCTAATTAGCAAAAAGCTCTTATTTAATAAGCCATCACAAAAATGGGCAAGATACATGAACAAGCAATTTTAGTTTTTAAGAAAGTACAAATAACTAATTATCTCTACATCATCCCATACACAAATGAACTCAGTGTTGGGCAAACACATATGTTTAAACACAAACGTGTACTTTTAAAATGTTTTAAAATTTTTACAACTGAAATGTTAGTTTATAGAAGGCCCATCTAAGCATGACCTAAGATTAAAAAAATGTATAGTGGGAGTGGGGGATGGAGTAGGAGAGGGCTGTATAAAATGTAAGATCAAATATGAACGGGGGTGGGGTGGAACTGGGTAAAAATATGTAAGAAAGGATTAATTTGCCTAATAAGCAAAGAACCTCTAAGAATTAATAAGCAAGCCATCACAAAAATGGGCAAGGTATATGAACAAGCAATTTTACTTTTTAAAAAGGTACAAATAACTATCCCTACCCTCATTCCATATACAAATGGACTCAATGTGGGTCAAAAACATATATTTAAATATAAAAATACATCTTTAAAATGGCTGCCTTAAAAATAAAATATTGGTTTATAGAAGGTATAAGCATGACATAAGATTTAAAAACCATAAAGGGGGGGTTGGCCAAGGAGAGTACAAAACTTAAATGTGAATGGGGGCTGGGGTGAAGACTGGGTAAAAATCTATAACAACAGGTTAATTTCCCTCATAAGCAAAGAGTTAAGAATAAACAAGCCCATCACAAAAATGAGCAAAGTACAAGAACAAGCAATTTCACTTTCTAAAAAGGTACAACTAACTAACATTGGGGAAACCATGCAGCTTCACTCATAATGAAGTGAAATACAAATAAAAATCTTACACCATTGCTGGGGGAGGGAATGGGCACCAGCACTCATAGGTCCCACACCAAACTCACTGAATCCTTAATGGGTTAAGGCTTGGACCTGAGATCCTCTTGGGCTCCCTATAGTCCTTCATCCCCAGGCTCATCCCTTAAGCTCATGGTCACCCATGGTGTGGCTTCCCAAAAGATTGGGAGGGAGAGACCAGCTCACCCCCAGCATCAACCATTGCACCCTCTGAAACAGGCCAAATGGGACATCAGTTAAGTTGACTCTGTACATCAGGCCCAAACCCTATTTCCTGTTCTATTTTCCAGGTCAACTTAATCCCAGCCAATTACTCCTCAAGCTCAGTACTGCAGAGGTGAGCAAAGAGTGTGCCACCGAGGGCAAGAAAAGTAGCAAACACCCCCTATCCATTAACCTTCCCAAAGTTCCTATGTAACATTCATTCCACATAAAAATTGTGTGCTTACTAGCGAGATTTCATCACAAAATGGCACTCAAAAGCCATCCAAATGAACATACAATCGACATGAGTGCTTGCTATGCAAATACATCCAAAGACCCCTTATATTCACATAATCCTCCAAAGTACCCCAAATAAACACTAAACCCTTGGCAACAACTACAGGACCAGCCCACCATAAAAACACCCATCCAGGTAAAGTGCTGGCAGAGAATAGCTCCCCAGCCCCTCTTCCAAGATGGCCACCAAGAGGCCCCACCCACCCAGGGATTCTAGAACCTTCTCCGAATAATCCACTTTCAGTTGCCATAGCGGTGGCCACATATCCATCACAGTTAGGAAACAAACTCTCAGGCTATAGAACATGTATACGTGAAAAATGCAATCCCAGAACCCCAGGCCCTTGCTGATCAAAACTGGCAGAGATTGTGATGATGTCCAGAAGGAAGGTAATAAGAATCAGTTATCCAGCATCTACAAGGCACCCATCAGCGCCTAAGCAAGCAAGGTCCGCTGTTTACGCCGTTTTTACCAATGACTAAACACGGCCTAGAGAGGCCAAAGTAACTTACCCCAAGAAAGGTTAGTAAGCAGGGAAGATGGGCTTCAAACTCAGGTAGCCAAAGCCCACTGTTTGGCTGCTATCAGGTCCTATAGTTGTAGACAATACGGGAAAAGAGAGAGGGTCTCCTGCTAGTCTTTCCAGGATGTCAGTTGTGGGGAGACCATGACCCAGGACCCCAAGGGGAAATCCTGCATGGCTCCATTGGATTCCATAGCCGGTGGTGATGGGGGTAGAGAGATTCGTGAGTAGGCAGCAGAGTGGAAGGGAGGAGGGTCCTGCTCCCTCAGAGTGACACTGGACACACGCCCCAACCCAGGGATTGAACCTGCATCTCCTATGTCTCCTGCAATGCAGGCAGATTCTTTACCACTAATAATAAACCACTAAGTGGCCTGATGAAGCTTTAGTTTGAAGAAGGTCTAGAATTTTTACCCATCTTCACTTTCAAAATTATCCCCAAAGAAATGGCCACCTCAGCACAGCCCTTCTATGTCAAATGGTATTCTCTTATCATAATGGTTTCTTGGACATTTTTTGGTCTTTTTATTCAACAAATAGAGAGTAGAGAATCTATGCCAGCCACTGGGAATTCAGCTCTCATGGGGTTTACATCTCTCAGGGGAGACATGCATTTACCAAATAAATAATTGAATTACAGATGATGACAAGGCCTCTGGGCTAGTAAACAGGTTGGGGGCAATGGGGAATGGGAACTACTGGAGGGATTCCACTTGAGATAGAATAGCCAGGGAGGGCTTTTTGGAGGAGGAGGCTTTTCTTACTGGAATACAGAGGATAAGAAGGAGCTGTTCATTTAAGTATGAGTTACCAGTAGCAAACATCACTCTTCTTTATCGATATTAATTATTAAAATATTATTGTTAGCATTTATGGAGCACTTTACTGGCACTTTATGTGCCAGACAGTGTCCTAGGCCCTTTATAGGGGTTATTCCACTTAATCATTTTGAAACCCTAGGAGAATGTACCCTATCATCCATGTAAGATGTGCCCAATCTGTTACCCCACTGTACAAAAATAAAAAAGGTAAAATATATCTAAGACATTGTGAATAATTTATGCAGACTATGCTTTTAACACTGGTTACGCTCTAAAGATCATGAAATACTCAATTAGTGTAACTGCTACTCAGGTTGCTAATAGAGAGTTGGGGAATTTAGTGTCTCTATGATAATTTTTCTATGTATTAACAGTTATATACTATGAACAAAACAATTGTCTGATTTTGCCTGTCTTGTTCTCTGTATCAGTTAGGAATGTATTCAGCTACACATAACGGAACCTGACTTGGAGTGGAACAAACAGAGGCTTACGTCTCTCACCAAGAATTCTGGAGGTAGGTGTTTCCTGGTTTTATCTCGGCAGCTCATCAAATGGCAGAGCCAATGCCTCCACAATTCTCTTGGCTTCTCTCTCCTGGTTGCAAAATGGTATATCTTAGCCTAAAGCAGAAAGAACAGGACGCCCCAATCAGCTCTTTCATCTGGAATGCACATGCTTTGTAGATGCCCTTCATTCTCTCTACCATGTGAAATATACAGAGATACCAGGTTAGCAAGATAGTTACATGGCTAAATAAATAGCTAGCTAGCTAGCCAGCCAGCCAGAAAAGTATCTGTTCAATAACAGTATTGCACACTCATGCGTGCGTGTGCGCGTGCATGCGCGCGCGCGCACACACACACACATGGATTTGTAATCTTTTGTTGCATGGACCTTAATGGAACATTTCCAGCCAGAACCTGTTGTTTTTAAGGATTAGGGAATACAACAGGTAAAACATTCAAATCATAAAGAACTAACTTGCATAATTATATGTAAATCAGTTTGAAAGCTTGGATGAAATAGATAATTTTCCAGAAAAATACTGGTTAATCAAAATTGACTGGAGATCAAAAAAAAAAAAAAAAAGACTAAGCAGACCATATAATATAGAAAAAAAAAAAATACAGAGCCTAGAGAACACCATGACCAAAGAGCTTCAGGCTCTTGTGGGAAGCTAGAGAGTGCAAGAACACATGAAGGTGGTTTATGGGGCTCCAGGGTCTGTTTCTTGATCTAAATGCTGACTAAGCAAGCATATTCTATTTGAGAAAATTCACAGAACTATCTACCTATGATTCATTTGATTTTTTTTCAGTAATGTATACATAAAAAAAGAATCTAGGATGAAAGGGAAGAAAGGATTCTTTATATATAGTGAGGAAATGGAAAAAGGCAGACCCAGGTAGTTACATAGGGGAATTCTACTAAATCTTTAAAGTTCAAATAATTCTAATGCTACTTAAATTATTCAAGCATATAACCAAAGGAAAATTTCAAAATTATTTTTATAAAGTAAAACACTGATTCTAAAACATGCCAAAGATTGCATCCAAAAATAAAATTATAGATCAATCTCATTTATGAATATCAATCATAAAGCTTTAAAATATAAGCAAGCAGAATCCAATATTAGATTAAAAAAATAAAACATCATGCCTAGGTGAGATTTATTCTTTGAATTCAAGGTTGGTTCAATATTAGCAAAACAGTAATATTTGCCATAATTTAATACCTATTTATATTTTTTAATAATCCAAGAAAATAGTGATTAATGGATGCCCCCTTAATATGATGAAGTTATGTAACATATACATAACATTAATTATATTATATAAATGCTATATATAAATTATTAAATATGATACATCTATAAGATATTTTTCTCCAATACTCAACATTTTACTTGATGAAGAATATCTAGAGCTTTTCTACCAATGTCAGAAATAAGAATAAAAAAAGACAAGGTTGCCATACTATATCATTTTATGGAGCATATAAGCGAATTCTATTAGACAAAAGAAAACAATTAGCGGTCTGAGAATTGGAAAGAAATAAAACTATTCTTCATCACAAATGATATAATTAAATAACTTAACTCCCCCCAAAAGTTCACAGAAAAACAATTACTAAAAATTGAGAATTTAGCAAAGAACAGAGTTCTAAGATGAACATGCAAAAATCAATAGCCTTTCAAGTTTGATTTTCCTTCTGAATGATCTACCCAACAGCTGACTTGAACAACATAACAAACACATAGACACTAAGACTTAACAGATATATACTGCTGAATAAATATTATTCTCAAATGCACATGAAATATTCTCCAGGATAAATCATGTGTTAAGTCACAAAACATACTGCAATTAATTTAACATTAAAATCATTCTAAGTATCTTTTCCATCTAAAATGGAATGAAACTAGAAATCAAAATAGTAAGAAAATAGGAAAATTCACAAATATGTGGACACTACAAACATTCTTGAATGATGATTGAGTCAAAGATAAAATTAAAAGGAAATTTTAAAACTATGTTGGGATAAACAAAAATGAAAATATAACATGCCATAACTTATGGGATGCAGTAAGAGCAGCACTAAGAGGAGTGTTTATAATGATGGACTCCAACATTCAAAAAGAGGAGAGACCTCAAATAAACAACATAACTTTACATCTCAAAGAACTGGAGAAAGAACAAGCTCAGCTGAAAGCTAGCAAAATAAAAGAAACAATAAAGATTAGAGCAAAAGTAAATCAAATAGAGGGCACAAATCAAATAGAGAATAGAAAAACAGGGGGGGAAACTAGGAATTGGTTTTTTGAAAATATAAACAAAACCAACAAACCCTTAGTGAGACTAACAGAAAAAAAGCAGACTCAAAATTTAAAAATCAGAAAGGAAAGAGGAGCCATTACAACAGATGCCTCAGCTATTAAGAATTAAAAGATAATAAGGGATTATTGTGAACAATTATATGCCAATAAACTGGATAACTTAGATGAAATATATAAATTCCTAGAAACATACAACCCACCAAAACTAAATCAAGAAGAAACAGAAGAAATTCTGAGCAGACTAATAACAAATAAAGCAGATTGAATTAGTAATCAAATCCTTCCCAACAAAGAAAAGCCCAGGGCTAGATGGTGTCATGGATGAATTCTAAACGTTCATAGAGGAATTCATACCAATTCTCAAACTCTTCCAAACTAACAGAAGAAGCGGGAACACTTCTAAACTCATTTTATGAGGCCAGCATCTGATACCCTGATACCAAACCCAGATAGAGACACCATAAGAGGGAATTCCCTTATGCCCCAGGGTAGGACTCTGCTTTCACTGCTAGGGCCTGGGTTCAATCCATAGTCAGAGGACTAAGATCCTGTAAGCCACATGGCATAGCCAAAGCTATAGACCAATATCCCTGATGAACATAGATGCAAAAATCCTCAAAACACTAACAAACCAAACTTAATAATGCATTAAAAAGATCATATACCATGAACCAGTGGGATTTATCCCTGGCATATAAAGATAGTTCAGCATGAAGATTAAACATCACATGATCATCTCAATCAATGCAAGAAAAACATTTGACAAATGTCAACATCCATTCATGATTAAAAACCCTCAACAGGGGCTTGCCTGGTGGCTCAGTGCTAAAGAATCTGCCTGCCAATGCTGGAGATGTCCGGGAAGATCCCACATACTTCACAGCCACTAAGCCTGTGTGCCACAATTACTGAGACTGTGCTCTAGAGCCCAGGAACCACAACCACGAAGGCCCGCCTGCCCCACAGCCTATGTTCTGCAACAAGACACACCAACTGCAATAAGGAAGCCCGGCTACTGCAGTGAAGAGTAGCCCCTGCTCATGGCAACTAGAGAAAAGCCCGGGCAGTAACCAAGACCCAGTACAGCCATAAAGAAATAAATAAATACTTTTTTTAACATCTCTCAACAAAATCAGTGTAGAAGGAACTTTCCTCAGTCCAGTGAGGCCACCAAGGAAAACACAGCCAATACCGTAATAAATGGGCAAAAATGAAAGCTTTTCCTCTAAGATTCAGTATAAAACAAAGATGCCCACTCTCATCTGTTTTGTTCAGCATAGTACTAGGAGTTGTAGCCAGAGTATTAGACAGGAAAAGGAAATAAAAGTCATCCAGATTGGAAGGGAAGAAGCAAAATTAATTGTGTTTGCAGATGACATGATAGTATATGTAGAAAATTCTCAAAACTCAACAAAAACCAAAAAAACCTGTTAGAACTAGTACAAATTCCGTAAAGTTGCAGGATAAAAAACATATAAAAAATGGGTCTCAATTCTATCCAAGCAACACATTATCCTACAAGGAAATAGAGAAAACAATTCCATCACAATAGCAAGAAGGAAAAAACAACTTAGAAATAAATCAAAGAGTTGAAAGACTGGTACACTAAAAATTAATAAACCACTGATGAAGGAAATTAAAGAAAACATAGGTGAGTGGAAAGACATCCTATTTTCATGGATTAGAAGAATATTATTAAAATGTCCATTGTACCCAAAATGGGTCTATAGATTCAGCACATTCACTATCAAAACCCCAAAAGCATTCTTTACAGAAATAGAAAAAAAAAAAATCCTAAAATTGACATGAAACAAAAGACCCCCAACTAGCAAAAACAATTTGAATAAGATCAACAAAGTGGGGGTAATACACTTTCTTTTTAAAAATACACTACAGGGACCTCCCTGGTGGTCTGTGTGGTAAGACTGTGTGCTCCTAAGGCAGGGAGCCTAAGTTTGATCCCAGTCAAGGAACTAAATCCCACAAGCTGCAACAAGAAGATCGAAGATCCTGCGTGCTACAACTGAGGCCTTGCACAGCCAAATAAATAAATATTCTAAAAAACACATTACAAAGCTACAGTAATAAAAATGGTAATATATATGTAATAGATAGCTATATAATATATAATTATTTGATATATGTAATATACAATTATTATATAATGTATATTATTATATATTTATATAATATATAATATATGCCCATATAACTGTTTATTTTACATTATATGTATTTCATATCTATGGTTGTGCTTCTGTGAGTTTCACTCTGTTAGATTGATCCCACACATAAGGGAGATCACCCAGTACTTGTCTTTTCGTGTCTAGCTTATTTCACTTAGCATAATGTCATCCAGGTTCATTCACATTATCATAAACAACAGGACTTACTTCTTTTCTTAAAGTTGAATAATATTCCATTGCATATACACTCTTTTTTTTAATCCATCTGTAAATAGATCAATCTAGATTGTGTCCATATCTTAGCTATGGTGACTAACGCTGCAGTGAATGGGGGAGGGTTATCTCAAGGCACTGATTGTATTTCTTTTGGTTAGTACCCAGAAGTAGGACTACTGGATCATATGGTAGCTCTATTTTTAATTTTTTGAAGAACCTCCATACTGTTTTCCATAATGGCCACCCCAATTTACATCCAATCAATAGTTTGTAACT